GGACCAGGGCCGGGTCTAGGCAGGGGCAAGAGGGGGCCTGGCCCCCTCAAATAAATGTTGTGCCCCCTCAAACTAAATCCCCCAAAATATATTAAATTTCATATATTTTTTATTATCTCATGCTTCTCTCCTCCGCTCCACTTCTTAATGTCTTAATGTCTTGCTTGCCCCCTCAAATATAAAATATATCAAGTTGTTTCTCATGTCATGTTTCGCACAATGCCCCCTCAAGATTTGTGGCTGCCCCCTCATACATGCCTGTCTAGACCCGGCCCTGGTCAGGACATTTTTTTGAGTTGAACTAATCACCAATTGCTACTATGCAGTTTTGCTCTGTATTTTCCTTTGTTTTCATCAGCACTAAACACGCCAGGGTGAGAAGTGTTATGTACATTACTACCTACTACTGAAAATGCATCCAGGATGATGCAGAGACTATCTCAGACAAAATTCAGAGATCATCAGAGGAATTTCTCCCCAGGCACTGGATTCCACAGTAAATTCATTGAAAGAATTTCTCAGTTTAAATAAGATTTATAGAATTTCTCTTTTGGGGTGAAATGTAATCCTGTGCTTAAAAACTTGATTTCACCCAGAGTAACCTCAAGATTGGAACAAAAGTTAAGAGCGTAATACTGTTTTCCTCTGCATGGATTTCATTTATTTTTAACAACCCATGTTTGAGGTGTGAATTAAAAGTTTGTTTGCTGCCCTGATCACATCAGCCCTGTTCTCCAGAATCTCCACTGGCTCACCATCCCACAATGTAACCAATACAAAGTCCTTCTCCTCACTCATAAAGCCCTCCATAACCAGGCCCCTTCCTACCCCACCGACCTGCTCCACCACCACACTCCATCCTGTCAGCTCCACTCCACTGATGCTAACCTCCTGTCTCATCCACTAAGGACCAAGCACCAGATTCCACCTCTTCCTCTGCGTGTCTATGGGGTTGCTATGGATACTCACTGATTTGAATAGGAACACCTCTTTTTAGAGAGAGGAAGAAGCTCCAGACCACCCCTCAAACAAATGCTTCTAACTCAAAATATATAAGTCCTATCTGTGAAATAAACACATTGTGAGAATCCCAAGACTTCCCCGAACGTACTGACTTTTTTTTCAAAAATTAACATGGCAGTAAATGGACAGGTGAGACCAGAAAACTTTTCTCGATAAATTGTCCCCGCCTAAACTACAGCTCCGAGAGATGTCAGAGTGACATGTGTGCGTAGGAAACAAACTCTATTTTAACCTGATGTTAAAATCATATCTGTCGGACTCCGTTTGTGGCTTTGAGAAGTGTTTAAACACAAAAAAAGTGGCTGAAAAACAGCCGTTTGCACCCATATTTATAGCCAGGGTTAACTATCTTAAGGTGAAGAGTAATTGCCAAAACACATGGAGTTGGAAAAGTGTCAACATGAAACCAGTTCTCACATTGACAATGGTAGAGTTCACATCCCACATACCACATTGAAATTCAACACATCCAGATTTTTGTTTCGATCTGGACACGCTCATATCAGTCCTCTAAATATGTTAGACTTCCTCATCATCAACATTGTTTTCTGAGAAATCGAGGAAAATGTTGGAAAAAATGACACACAATGTTAAAAAGAAAGTGAAAACTAAAAGAAACTAGATTGGTCCGCTGATCTGGATCCACACCAAAATTTAAGGGGTTCTTCCTTGCCCCACATCACAAGACACATTTTCAAATTTGAATTGGAATTGGTTGAGTGGTATTTGTGCAATCCTGCTAACAAACTAACTAACTAACTAGCTTACCAGCTAACTAACTAATGCAGACTAAAACATAACCTCCTTGGCTTGGCCCAACAGTTCCCTTAAATTAAACCCAACCACACTATTCACAATGTGTCAGTCTGTCAGATATCAGTCCCCCAAATATGTCTGATTTATTTCATTGAGATGTCTGTATTATTTATTAAAAATCACTAAGGCTATTTTCATACTGAGCAGCTTTGTCCCCTCCAAATATTCAGCCTTCAGTTTCTCTAATTGTATCATGGAGGAGGGGGTCTTCTTTGGATCGGTGTGTTGTAGTAGTTCAGTGACAGCAGATCGGTCCTATCAAGAATTTGCTGATACTTGTATTTAGTAGAATACATTCTTCCCTTTATCAGTGCATAATAAGGAAAGTAAAATTATTCCCATGCTTGGTGTTATTTTCTTTAAATTAGTAGGGAACTGAAATATTTGCATGTTACAGTTGCAGTTTCCTTTTTTCATTTGTTTCAAAAATGGCACTGGTTTGATTACTGAAGAAAGGCTCATTTTTAAATGTTGAAGGGGTTGTATCACCTTATTTTCACTTTTAAAAGCAAATAAAATATGCAATTGATCCGGAATAGTAACTCTTTCAGTCAAAGATTAAACAAATTATAATCTTACACGGAGCTCATGACATTACACAAATCAAACAGTTGATTTGACACCAAGACATTTAATAACAGCTTGACAATCAAGAAGGTATCGACAGTACTGGTTTATATTTGACAAATCAGGCTAGCGAGCTTGCCACTGACGAAAAACTGTAGTACAAGTAATATTTAACATATTGTGAAATTTATGATGAAATCAGCGGTTGGCGAAAGTGTTCATTTTTATTCAGTGTTAAGTTAAGAATCATAGACAAACTAAACAAATCTCAATCACACACTCATTCATCATGATCATAACGACACATGATCATCAAATCCTGTTCACATCAGCTAAAAAACACATTGAAGTAGTAAGTATTTACAGTAATAGAAACAGAAAGGCCCTTATATGGAAGAGTGAAGTCTCACAGTTCAGTCTCATCGTTCTCTTCAGGTTCGTTGCTTCGTGTGACTGCAACTTTAGCAGTACACTCTGCCTTCCTGGTGAAAGGTTGACGTGGACCAGCCACAGTCAGTTTGCTCCCTGAGATGTTGCCCACGCTTTGAGCAGAGGCACCTTCATGTTTCTTGACAATCTCTGCTTGACTCCCCCCTCTGTATAACTTGCAGGACGCCACCAGAGGTCTTCCTGTGTCCAAATGTTGGCTTTCTGTCTGACGCAGCTTACTGACCGTGTGAGTATAGTGTAGATCCACCTTGATGATCAGCGACTCCTAATGAACAACAAAAAATGATTTCAGATTTAATGTACAGATTGTATTGCAGGGAACCGAATTTAGGCATATACATATAATCAAATTAATATATACCTTCAGCTTCTGAAGTGCACAAATCCTCAAAGAGCAGTCTGGGTTATTGGAGTTGTTAAAAAGTAGAGAGTCCATCTCCTCTGACCGGCCAGGGCCAGAAAATATGTCTTCCATAGGCTAAAGATTTCAGAGCATAACATAGTTAATTAGTATAATTAGTACTTTTTAACTCAACTTTACCAAAAACAATTAAAACCTCTCAAGCACTTCTAATGTTTTGGCACAATAGATGCCTTAACAAATCAGCCACTAGATGTCAGCATGTCTCAAAGTTCTGCCTCTATAATAAGGACACGTTACTGAAGAGGAGTGGAGCAGATGATTAATGCTTCCTGCTCTGTCTTTGTCTGTGGTTGCAGCAGACTGGATGTCTATACATGGGCAGAACTTCCTCAGACATGTGAAACATGGGGTGAATGGTCAGGAAAACCTGCTGCTAATGGAAAGTGACAACTTGCTACCATGAGCAACGTGGAATCTATTATGTAATTACAACACACCCTGTGTAACTTTTTAACTATCTGTGTCTGTGTGACTGTATAGACCTGTTGTGGTTTCTATATGGATTATATGAATATTTACAGGTATACTGCTCAGAGCCACGGTGCAGTCCTGCGTCCGGGGGCCGACAGTCTTCACTGTGGCAAACGCAACCAAAACGTTGGAGAACAAGGCTGAGAAGCTGACTTCCACTTCCACTCCGCAGAGAAACCTTAGCCGCTTTTTCCGCGGTATCTCTGAAAGAAGACATGCAACAACATTAAGACTAAAAATAGATACAAAATTACTTATTATGACTGTACAGACCGATCCACTGACTATCTCAGGGACTTTTTTTTTTTAGATGTTGATTAAGCTGCATTCTTTTAACTTGAGTCTGAATTTGTCTGAGAAGATTCTCCACAGATTAATCCCCAATATCAAGAGTCACATTCAAAAACATTGGAGGAAGTTCTAAGGTGTCAAAAAGATAACGTCTTTCCATCAAACAGGAAGACATTGATAAACCAGTTCCTTATTTTGATTCAAAAACAATGAGTAGCCTTTTTTTTTTGAATGATGCTGAAATTATCACATTAAACCACAGTGTCTGTACCATGCAGTCTATGGTCTGTACTTGGTTTGTCACATGCTGTGGTGTAGGCGGTGTGAGGAAGCATTAAGAGAAGTGTTTCTCTTACTCACTCAAGCTGAGGACAGATCAAGAGAACACTACATTTTGTACGTACATATGTATTAACATATCCTGTCCTAAACCCTATTTAACCTAGACTTTAATAAATGAAGGGAAAAAACATGTAGGTGTTGTGGAAACTTCCCCAGACTCACCATTTGCTTGTCTCCAGCAGACATCTCGCAGGTGGAGTTCCTTTGTGTGGCCAGAAGTGCGAACTGGATCTGCGAGGGATCGGGGTTCCTTAAGGGTGTGCTTGATCTCCACCGCCTGCTTACCTGTAACTAAAGGGTCTCTGCCCAAATCTGACAAAGAGAGAGAAAATGAAAATACAGGTAAATGTAAAGCCTGTAAGAGAAGCAAGCAAATATCTGCAGCAACTCCACATACATATATACTGGGCAAAGGTCCAGTGTGTAAGATTTGAGTGACCAATACAAAAAAGAAGGAAGACACAGCTGAATAGCTAACTGGCAAGCAGTGTGTTTTTCTCATACATCAATTATCCCAGATGTTAAAGCAGATATGAGGCAATTTAAAGGTACAATAAAACATCCTGTTAATTTTGAACATTTTTGGAAATAGTTTGGTTAACATAACTGAACAAGTCAACAAAATATGCAAGAGAAGTGAAAGAAAAGAGCTGAAACATATTTAATCATTAATCACCTGCTATAAGAGTTTCAAATGCTTTTCCAACTAAATGGGGTGGCCCAAGTTTTTGCAATAGCAGTGAGTAAAGAATGACTGCATGTAAAAAAAAGGGTTAATCAAGTTCACATAGCTGCTTTTGAGGAACTTAGGGAAGTTTGACGTATGAGATAGTCCATATCCACTGTAACTGACCGGGACGAGTTTCGGGGTAAAAAAAAAAAAAAAAATCTTCATGGGACTGTCTTAGCAGTTTAATAAAGATTAATACTTTGGCTTTTGAGATGATTTTGTGTCAGGAATATTTTGGGTCAGCTGTCTTCACTATGCTAACATCTCTAAACAAGAACAGAAGCAGAGGGTTGGGAATGTCAAAGTTAAAACTGTGTGGTTTCAAATAAAAACTACAAATAGCTAAAAGTAAAAAGGGATAAAAACCGGTTGTAAAAATGTTCATAACCAATTGTGCATTTGTTCACCTAAATTGATCATCCACAAAGGCACAGGCACAGACACACAACCAGTGCTGTCAGCAGGGCATCCTGTCCCACTAGTGCTGATTTGTGGGCGAACCAATGATAGAAGTGGCAGGGAGCTGCCCAAATGGCAGAGCAGCTGTCTTGCACTCTGCAGCTCTCGGGTTTCTCGCTGTTCTGCAGCCCACAGTGCAAATTTCCAGAGAATGAGGTCACACACTTAATGGTACCTCGAGAAATTATTTCACCAGAGCCCCATTAAAGAGACAAACACGTTGGGACAACTTGATAACTCCTCACCCCAGCTCAGTCCCAGCTATACTTACAAGTCCTGAGTACACAACACAAAAAGGCGTTGGCAACAATTATGAAACTGGGCTGTGGTACAGTCAAGACTAACGAACAACGTTCTCCCTTCAGATCTGCAAGAAATGACTGCTCACTAAACCATGGAATACAATATTAGTCACTAACTGAATGTATAAACGGTATTTAGGAGGGTTGAGTTGATCTGAAGTAGACTTTAATCTTGAATATACTTTTATGAATGATTTTTAGCATCATCCACAAATTTGTTCAGTCAAAACAACCATATTCCCTTTTGATGATAATCATTACTTCATTCATAGATTGATATATTTTTGATTTGTTCATAAACCAAAAGCGAACCAACACCTTTTTTAAAAATACTTACCCTCAGAAACCTTCTCTAGGACGTGTGTGACCTTGTCGGACAGCAGGATGTGCTTGTTCAAGTACTTAGTGAAGATTCCAGTACTTTTCACTCCTTCCTGGACCTCAAAAGCCTCAGCATCCTCACATCTGCACAGAAACCAATAGATATAGATTTTTTTAAATAAATAAATAAATTCAATACTAGAGCATTTTCTCAAGTCATAGGCCAACAGCTGCACTTGCACTGCGTTGGCTGAGGAAATGTAAATAAATATTGATGTTATAATTTATTTTTAAAAGTACATACGTTCCGTAACCATAAACTGTATTCCCAAAGGGTTTCAGTGGCATGATGACTGAAGGTATGCGATCCTGGTTGTACCTGTTTTTGGATAAATCAAAATAAAGCAATCAATATAAACCTGTTTCTTAACAAAGAAATTACATTGATAAAAATGTATAGGAGTATATAATAGCTTTCATTTGTTTATTTAAATATGCACAGTCAAGTCAATTTGTAATGCCGGGTTCCATTATACCTCGAAGCTCAGCCTTGGATTGACGCCATGCCCAAATAACCCAAGTTGATAGTGTTTCCAGTTCCACAGGAACAATGTTTACATTAGCCAGCTAGCCATTGGGGGTCGGTAATTGCGAGCTCTTATAATGGAATCCAGCATTAGTGAGACGAGAGATGAATTATTGCACCTACCACTTTCGGCAGGTATCCAGCAGGGTCACACTCAGTGCCGTCTGTTTCTGCTGCATGTTGTGCATGACCCTCTGCACACACACACAGTTTTCAGGTCGGTATGGTTGTGGTGCATCAACAGCGACCAAGTAATTCCTCCCAGCGCATTCATACCCATGACCCGCATAGTAGAAAAGGCCTGTGAGAGACATGATGAGACACACATACAGTTCCTGCTTGCGACACTATAAGAACTATAATCATCACATTTTGCATGACACATATTCTGCAATACTGGAACAAGTAATGTCTCTAATCTAGAGAAATGATTGACACAATGATTTTTATCACCATATAATACAGAACATATCAACCATATCTACCTACTATTCCAGTCTGTCTCTATGTCTCAAATTTTTTTAATATACAGTAAGTGCCAGAAACAGGTGTGATTCACAGGGAAAATTGTTCAAAATGTATGATGAAATAAGCAGGGATTAAGACCTATGCATGGAAACATGCTTCCTCAAAAAAGGTTAAGTACACTGCTATTTTTCAAAAAGGGCTGAAGCTGCACTGACAAGCTATTTACTAAATGGCCACATACAGACATATTTCAAGAACCGTTCATCTTATCGGCTTCCTACGTGCCCTGTGTATTGCTCCCAGGAAATAGCAGGGTCAAATTTGTGTCATATATTTAATATTAATAAGAATTGTAATTAAAAGACAACTGGCCCTCTGTAAGTGTGCAAACTGTCTGCGGACTGAGTTGAATTATCTTCTACGTCCTCAGCAACTGGGTCAAACCACAGTTCAAAATTGCTGAACTAATACAGACAAGGTGCTGCGGATACTGATCTCTGTCTCTCTGTCATGGCAGCAACACTCATAGAATCACCTCCTATTTTGCAATTTGTCTTCAAAGAAAAAACTGAAATTGTTGCAGCCTCAACAACCTCCGAAATAGCTGACAAATTCACTTTCAATAAATAAAACTTGAAACTTGAAACCTGGTAGGACGAACAAAAGGTTTTCTAACTTCAGTGCACCACAGACTGTTTATAAAAGGCTCTGCACACAATATCCAGCACACAAACACGAACAAAATGACAGTATATAGTAGAACTGTTTGAGGAGGACTCACTAATGACAATAATTCTGAAGTAGGTCAACAAAAGCCAAGCGAATTGGCAGGTTTAGAATGGGAACTGCACTAGAATTGATAATTTGATGTGATTTCTATCTTAGTTTTGATATAAGCAAAATACAGTATATGACATCATAAGGGACTGTATTGTTATGATACAGCATGATGGTTAGTTTATAGTTGTATCATCCACATTATGTCATATTACTGTTCAATGATTAAGATTCCTTATGTACCTGTGGGCCAGATGTTTAGCCGACAGATAGTCGATAACCTTTTATAAATACCACATGAACAGACATTCAGGAAGTGTCTAAATAGCTTGTGAGAACAGAACACACCTATGCTTTTGATATCTCCCTCACCTGCCCACTCAACCAGAGATACTCAGTGCAAGATGTTGTAAACCACTTGTTAGTTCATGGCCTATGGCAAGTGGGTAGCGACAGATAAAAGGCAAATGACACAGATAAAAGCAAGGAAATTCAAGTCCCTCAAGCATCCCTCACTACATCAGCACTCAGGCAAATAACAAACAACTGGCTGAAAGTTAGTAAATGAAAATAACATTCTGTGAGAACTGAAAACGCAAAGGGAAAGTACCCTCACCATAAACTCCTGTGTCAAGCAGCTGAATGAACTTTTCAATTGCTGCCAGCATCTCCTCCCTCGTTAGGTCGAGCAGGGAAACCACTCTGAAGCCGAGCTGCTGCAGAAGGTTGGCCAGCTCGTGCACGTCCATGATGGGGGCCATCAAGCTGGGGTGGTTGGAGTAATTCAGGTTGCCAATAAGTAGAGCAACTTTGTCTGTGGCTAAAACAAAGAGCAAAGTAGAAACTCTAATACATCCCTTGATAGATTTTTGTTCAGCACACAAAGAAAAAGATTGAAATGTTTGCTATGAAACAGTACCTGTGAGTGCTGTCCCAGGAAGATGACCATTGCAATGGAGGGGATGCAAAACAGAGAAGCACAAATTCAGCATTACTCAAACAAAAATTATACTCATACTGACAGTTTCATTGTGACATATACACTGTATAAACACAAAATAAATTAAAAAAAATAAATGCTGCAAGAACATTAGTTTCATTTTATATCACTTTCCTGTTTTATGTCTGAGTCGGAACGAGCGCTATTTGGAGTCTAGCAACTTCCTTTTTGAAATAGGAAAGTACTTTTCACATCATGGAAACAACTAGAAGCCTCTGTGCCAATACAGTGGAATTAAATGAGAAAACCTTTTTGTTATCAGAGCCTTCTCATTGGAGGAAGTACAGTCTCTGGAAAACACAACGGTGAAATTGGAAACTTCAGGGACTTACAAAGTCAGATAATGATAATTTCATCAATGACCTACCGACGTCAACGTCGACTGCTTTAGTCCATATCTCCTCCAGCTTGTTTGTCACCGAGCACAGGTATGATCCTGCGTGTGCAGCTGTTGCACAGTCAATCTGAAAGTTCCACAATCAATCATTATATTTCCCTTTCTATCCATTCTCCCTCACAAAAGATCATGCAACCACAGATCAAAACTGTGACAAAACATTAACCACAATGTGCTAAATGAATTACACAGTCGTCTAGGGGGTACAGGATTCAGAGCCGGTGAAATGACACAGCAAATATAACGCAGTGTAAACAATCGGTATCAGCACTGAGGTAAGTAAACACTGGCTTGTTCATCCTCTCTTACCTGCAGCGTGTCGCCAGTCATGTTAAGGAGGGCCAGACCATTTCTGTACCACTGGTACTCCGGAGCAGGTATGCCAAAGGCAACGCAGCTGAGAGTGAGTTGTCTACCTCGTCTAATGGTCTGGGGTTTTGGGTTGACCGCAATGTGTAGTTTGCCCTGCCAGTGCACTGGTAAACCTGATGGAAAAAAAGAGAGAGATTCATACCCACAGCAATAAACCAAAAACAGGCTATGCTGCAAAGGTGCAAAACAGTAAAAAACTACTCAAACACCACACAACTGCAGTATAGATCAACATAAGAATTGAATGATGTATACCTGATTTATCAATGTCCCACACCTTCACTTTCACCCATTTGCTGAACACACAGTTACAGAATTGGTCATTCACCCTGCACACGTAAAGCTGGGTTTTTACAGCTCTGATTGTCAGGTCTGGTTGAGTCCCGTCAGGTACCTTTAAAAGAAAAAAATACAAACAGAATAA